TGTTTTTCTCCCTCCCACAGATAACCATGGGATTCACAGCAGCGTCGACAAATGAGTGAGTGAGATACGTCCATGGTTTCATTGGCTTGATACAGATCATTGCTTGTTAGATTAAATAACTTTGGCTGTGATTTCAGACTAATTTGCACTGGTGAGGGTAGGTTCCTTTACCCTGGCTCGTGTGGGACATACATGGACTGTACTCCAAGTGGAGATGGTGGCTATACCCTTGTGAAGGATAACTGCAGAGGCTACACATTTGATGCTGCTAGAAAAACCTGTATTGCTAAGCCAGTAAGTTCATGTTCCATGATGAAACACAAGCTACAGTGTTGATTTATTTCACTTGTAACACAACTCTTCTATTTTTTGACAGTGTGAATCCCGGCTTAAACGCAGTGTTACTACTATTAATCATCAGTATTCGCATTTGTGTGAAGGACAGCCTGACAAATTTATCTGCGGCAGTTGCAGAACCCTGGTCATGTGCGTGAAAGGGCAAGCCTTCATTCGCCACTGTATCCCGAATAATTTCTGCTCAACCAGAAAAAAATTTGGAGGGGGAGTTTGCTACCCAGAAGAACCTGTAGAATGCACTTGTACAAAAGCTAATGATTTCATGGTAGACCACTATGATCCCCAGAGGTTCTTCTCTTGCGAGGATATTGGGTCCATACCAGAAAGTTACAAATGCCCAGATGGAATGGAATTCGATGAAAGTACAGCACAATGCCGCAACATAGGCGGTCTACCACCATGCTCGGTCTCAGGGCAGTTTGCTAACCCCAGCAACTGTAGTGAATACTACTCTTGCATTGCCCTTAAATATGGATGGCTTCAGAAAGCCTTCCAATGTTCCAAAGGCCTGATGTACAATAAGAAGACTCAAAAATGTGAAGATCCATGTAAGTACCAGTTCGTGTGTACGCAAGAAGGACGTTACCCAGACTATCTTAACAAGTGTAATTACTATGAGTGCATCATGTTGGGAGGCAATATGAGACAAGAGCGTTATCAATGCCCTAAGGGTTACAAGTGGAGTGAAGTCTCCCCAGGTATTGGAAAGTGTGTTGAAGACGATGGTGAGACGGATGAGTATCCCTTCAGTCACTGCAAATTGGATACATTGTGCTCTTTGTAAGTGAAATGTAAGTGTTTTAAGTTGGAAAGTTTAAAATGCAAGCTAATTGCTAGCCATACGTATAAAGATATATAAGGTAGATATAGTTTTATCGATACTATTTTTATAAGAGTAAGCTTGTTTAAATCTCCCCAGGCGATGGTTGCCAATCGCTCCCCTCTAAGTATTTGCTTGAGAGACCTGAGGTGATACATTGGCGTTTCCTGTCCTTGCCTGAAACATTAGGTAAATTGTATTGAATCATACGAATTGTTTGCAATCTACTGATTCCAAAATTAGTAAATTACATACGGTTGCAGTGATGTATCGAAGTTTATTTGCAGGAAACAAATGTGATGAAATCAAGTGGCTGCATGGAGGAAGCTCTCCATCAAAGTGCAAACTACAAGGTCCCCGCCTTTTGTCAAATCTTTTTAAGTTAACTTTTAATAAATTTTAACCTTAACATGTTTTTAATGCTTCCTTTTATAACCTGTCGGGTCATTTGCATCTTTTGGTAGAATGGAGAGAATTAGTTGAAGGACCCTATAGATGCAATTTAAAACCATTAAGCAGTAATGCTGCTTGTGCCAAATCTTGGTAGTTGATGCAATAACAGCTTTTAGAGACCTGTCCTGGACAACGAGGGAATTGCTGAACCAGATTTAGGTTGTTACTTGTACATTTCTGCTCTTGATTTAGATACATCAAAAATTTAAAAAATTCTTTAAGATCGAAACCAATATAAAAAGGTCATATAATTGCAAACTAACCATAGCAACAAATGAAGCATGTAATTTTAAAATGTAAATGTAATAAATGTTAGCATGCACTCTAGTTCTCTCAAATTAGAATATTTGAATATACAAATCTAATTCGGATGCCGCCCCTCTTTTCCCCAACGGATACTGAATGTCGTGTAGTGAAACCACACACAACATTTTTGTACCCTATTAGGCCGCCCTTTGCTCGTTGTCATGGGGTGGGGGGGACATCGCCGTGGCCACGACAGGGTACTGTTCAAAACTTCACGCTCGCTTACTCCTGCAGGCATGCTTAAACCACGAATAAAGGCCTGACACGTTAATAGCAAGTTCTCCCGGGTTGAGGATGCCCTGAACTCGCCCCGGAACTTGGCGCACTATAGAAAACGCGCCCCAGGGGAGAACGCTGGTACACCACCTCCCTTTTTTGACGTGTTTAGATTCTTTTTGTTCTTGTAATAGTTTCTTTAAAATCATTATGTATCTCCAACGCACAAGAACACAAACGAAAACAAGAAATTTAGAAAAAGTAAGGATGGATATCATTTTAGTTCCCCCCTCCCCCATTTCTTAGGTAAACCTTATGAAAGTTTTACATTTATTGATATTTTAACTACTTAGATATACTAATTCAGTTTTGAGTTCAGGTCTCGCTCAAACTTTACGCAGCAAGAGATTACGAGGAAGGCAAGAGACAGGTGATAGCCGGTCGCTTGGGGAAACTTGTTCATTTTATCAGCTGATAGACGAGTGCCTCCTCGTTTTTTTTTTTTATCGGGCTTTACGTTCTTCGTGCTTTACATTTTTGCCACTGTTTTCTTTGTTATAACTTGATAAAACTTTTAATTTCATTTTTTCTACTTCAACAAAGGAAAAAGTACATGTTTACCTGTGTATCCTCGCAGTACTTCTTTATTAAAAGAATGAGACCCTGACATTGAGAATAGACGTCTTTTCTCTGCTAAAAGGATGCTTACTGAACTCTCTCTCTCTCTCTCTCTCTCTCTCTCTCTCTCTCTCTCTCTCTCTCTCTCTCTCTCTCTCTCTCTCTCTCTCTCTCTCTCTCTCACGCTTAGTCACTATCTCCGTTCCCTACTCTGATCTTACTATCACTTCACTACAATTATGCTCCGTTCCCACATGATAATGGGTGATAACAGCGTTTTCATTATCTTTGAAAGAGAATTGAACAAGGTTGCTATAAGTGAGGTTCAATGTAGAAGGATCGCCCCTACCTTGAACCTCAGCCTGTGCCTAAAAGAATTTTCCACTATTTTTTTCCCTCCCCTTCTGTCCACATCCTGAAGTGAGGCTGGCTTTCTGTCCTGAATGGCCTTTTGTACTCAATTTTCTATTCCCTCTTTACCCTTCTTTACTGCCATGCTAACCTACAGTGCTCTACAACTTTTGACATGCAACACATTTTATCCTAACCTTTAACACATCTTTACCATAGTGCTTGTATGCCTGACCTGGGGCTCTAACCAACGAAGCTCCCCTATCACTAAATCTTGAATACCCCATTATTGACCTCTGATGTTGATGCGGCAAAACTTTTTCAATAAGTGAATACTAACACCACCACCTTTTTATTTTATTTAGCCTTGTCAACCTCTCCTTTCCGTTACCACAAAGCCAACATGAGTTCAAGGTAAATCGGCAACACTATTAGATCACTTGTGGACTAACTGCACTAGCAGGACAGCTAAAAATTGTATTATCTACAGCAATTTCTTTGATCATTTTCCCATTTACACTGTCTTCAAATTAGACTCGCCCTGTCAAAGTTTATTAAAAACATACTTTAGTGATTTTTCAAAAGATATTGTGAAGGTGTTAGGAATTCGTTTCAGATCCAAATAATACCTATGAGAATCTTATCTATTTTCCTTCCTTCCTTCGAGAAATTCTTCCCAGTAAAGTCCAAAATAAATCTAAAATACCATAAGCCATACATTATGAAATCACGCAGTTGATTAAAAAGATATCAGATGCAAAAAAGTTTGCTAAATTTCGAATTACGTATGGCAAATAAATTGTTGCCTGCCTAACAAACCCGTATTATCCGTGATGCCAAATATAATTATGAAAAGCTTTATGAAAGCAAGAATTACTTAAATCTTAACTTTCTAAATCGGAAGAAGCAACATCAGACAAATAAGATATTAGGTTATAACAAAAAAGGGAACCGACATACGTTGCCTCAGAATTCAACTATATTTTAAATAATATTGGCAGCAATGTAGCTGAACTGGTTGCTCATCACAATGGGGATCTTCAGACATTTCTTGGACCTCAGATTCAGTGTACTTTTTCGCTTTTGCCTATCACTGAAGCCGAACTTCTAAAAAGTTGTGAAGGAACTGAAAAATTCTGCCCCTAGTCATAGTAATATCCCCATGTTTATAATCAAGCCATACTGAAACCTATGAATCATATTAATAAACCGCTCAATGGATATCCCAGATAAATTAAAAATTTACATCCTCTATTTAATTAAAGCAGGGGGGCGATTTCAACTACTTTCAACAACTTTCGTCCTAGTCCTATTTTTTTTTTTTTTTTTTTTTTTTAGTAAGATTTTGGAGAAAATTGTCGGTAAGCAATTAAATGTTTTTTTTTTTGAACACCGAACAATAACTGACTCCCAGTATGGCTTCATGAAAAATACATTTACAGAATCGGCCATTGCTCACTTAACAAATATTATCAAAGGCTTCGATGAAAGTTCACTCTATGGGTATTCCAGGATTTATCAGTCATAACATCTTGCTGCAAAAAAAATGTCATTATGGAATTCGAGGTACAGCTCCCAAATGGTTTTCATTTATCTAAGCAGCAGGACTCAATATGTATCATTTGCAGCCTCTTCTTCTTTAAGTACTTTAACATATGGTGTTCTTCAAAGCTCAATTCTGGGCCCTATTCTTTTGTATATCAATGACATAATCAATGCTAGTAAATTAGATTTCATTATTCATGCCGATGATATATATATCTATACCTCTGGTGATTCACATGAGTTGGTAAATTTAATTTTTTAATGAATTAAGTATTGAATTGGGTTTGCTTGAATAAATTGACTAAATCTTGAAAAAATCTACCTTCCTTAGAAATAAGCAGTTACCATTCACTCAGCCGCCAGTAAATGAAGGTCGTACTTCATTAAAGAGACAAGAATCCACAATTTTTTGGTATTTACTTACAATTTCAGTTACGATGGAAAGCGCGTATTAATTACATTCAATGTAAATTAAGAAGACCGTGTGGGTTGATGACACTAAGCATATATTGGGTACACAGCGCCTCACTTGCTTATATAATTCGTTGATATACCAGTATTTGGCGTAATCATATGGGAGCAACACTCAAAAACACTGAAGCCCATAATCACAATTCAGAAGCGAGTAATAACTATCTTGGGATTGAAAAAATATGACCATATAAATGACGGCTTCCTGTAGCTAAAATTAGTGAAATGTAATAGTATAAATAGGTATTGCTGCTGCTTGTATATTTATAAATGTATAAATACTCTTGGGAATGATATGTTCACTACCAGAGCAAACAACGGTATAATATACGAAATGATAAACTTTTAGCTGTGCCATTCATGAAGTCTCAACAGTCACAAATGAGTATTTTGTATCACGGGCCTTTATTATGGAATAATCTTATTCTGGTAAGAGAATGCACAACATTATTATTCTTTGAAAACACTCAAATAATATTTGTTATCCCAATATGCAGTCAATGTATAATTGCTGTGTAATTTATTATCCATTTCTTTAGGAATAAACTGAATACGTTGGTTCTGTAAAATAATATAAATGGTTATATACAAGATGACAACTAATGATGCTAGATGTTCTAGTAATACATGTATATTTAGTTTGGTTCAAATAATCTAAAGGTGTATTATATAACAGCTTATTATGTATGTGCGTATCCTTATGTTGGTATTACGTATTCGTTTGTTAAACATCCAAAATTGTTTCACCAGGGGCTTTCCAAAAAGGAGTCTGTCTCTAAAAGTTTTTGTCTGTAGTTGCAGGGGTAATGGACCTTGGGGCGGATGCTGGACGAAGGAAGGAAGTGTTAAGGAAGAGGCGAAGGAGGGAGGGAAAGGACACACGAATCGTGTCGAAGTGTGTGTGTGTATACATACATACATACACATACATAGGGTGGACACCAGGGAAAAAGAATCGCGCAGAGGGAAAATAGAGGAGAATAAACACCGAAAGAAGGGGATAGGGCGAGGGGCAGGGGGTTGTCTCCTGGGTCTAGGGAATTAGCCAAGTGCAGTAAACCGTAGCAGATTCTTCGGGCCGGATCTGTTGCCGGAGGGCTCAGGCATATTGCATGATGTATCATGTTTTTGTATTTGAAGTTTTAGACTAAATAATTTTTTTGATTTTGATTCTGATTCTAAAGTGTGGGAGCCGTGTTGAAAGGATGAAAGGCTGGCTTTGTGTCAGTCCTGAACGGCCTTCTTACTCCGTTTGCTATTCCTTCTTACCCTTTTCACTACCATGCTAACCTACAGCGTTTTACAACCTGTGACATCTTACAAATTTTGTCCTTATTGCTAATTCATTCTTAAACTATTTGCCACAATACTTTGTAAATAAAGTTGCATAACCTTTTCTTGCCTTGGGGCTTCGTCCCCAAGCCTCGCCCTATTTCTATATTTTGTATACGCCGTTAATGACCATGTTTGTATTTATTCACCTCATATATGGATTAATATAGTCTACATTTTGGGGTGTTTTGCTGTCAGCCAATTACGGAAATTTGTCTGTTAGACGGAAAACTACCAACAGTTACTACATTTATACTACCGATGGACCGCTTATAATGATCAGTTGTGGTAGTAATCCGCGGAAATCAACTTTGACAAGATATCGAGAGGACATGAAATATACTGGAGAAACTGCGGTGTATATATCTAAGGAGGTTTGCTGATCTGTGCGTTGAGACTGTGGTGATCGCTAAACTCCTTTTCCGTAAACAATAAATGCAATTCATTGATACCAACTTCATTAGTTGTGACGACGAGCAACTTTTCTGTATAATTACGGAAACAATAGAATAAATGAGGATATGCGAGCTAAAAGTTCTCAGAAAGAAGGCCAAAAAAACGTGTATTATACTCGTATTAGCTTTGAAACAAACTGTCATCAATATCTGCATCTATATAAAGGGGAAATATTAATCGTATGTTAAAGGACTTTGAACTGGTCAGAGAACAAGTACAATACATCTCGGTATTGGATTTTTGATCTTCAAAACATAAAATCAAGAAGCTTGATTGCTTATAACAATAACATAATTACCTGTGTGTTTGAGAGAAAGCTCGAAGAAGGTTGTCAATTTATTTTATTGTCAATTATCATACACTGAAGAACCGTTCGAGATTGCTAATACAAGCGCTCCGAATCGGTCTTACGTCACATAACCGTTTATTATCCGTCTTTTCGTGTCTTCAGCAGTGAACAAAACTCATGAAAACTCTCTACATCCTTTGATAACATCCTCATTACTCTACAGTCCTATCTAACATTTAACTTTTTCTCTCCTTTTCCTGTCAACATAAATAAAACAACAAAAAATCCTATCAGCATAAACAACGCTGTCTTACGCATTACATCCTAATAATTTATAGCGCATCACCGACATCATCTCTTACGCACTTTCACTCTTTCTTGCAACTTCCACAGGGTCAGGATGTGCAAGGGTTCCTGAAGACCTTCCTGCTGCAGGTACTGAAGAAGGTCGTCTCCATCGGCCGACGACCTCACCAGCAGGTAGCCGTTTCGGGGGAGGAGCCAGCGGAAGACCTAGAGGTAGATCCAGATTATTATTATTACCGAAGGAAGTTCATCGTCATTGTATTTAGTTAGATGTTTCTCACTGTATATAGCTGACCAGTTATTACATATGACTGGCTAATTAACATTGTATAAAGTTAGGCAGTTATCGTTATGTGTAGTTAAACGATTATTGCTTTTATTCGTATGTATTGCTGATCTCCCTGTTGATAGGGAAACATTTCTGAATCGAAAGTTCGATGTGTATATAGTATTTCATACAGTTAGCTAATTACCCTTATATGTCATCAACTCGTTATTATTGCATATGTTTGCCTAATTTGAACTGCATTGCCGTGTGTGCATATATATATATATATATTATATATATATATTATATAATGTATATATATATTAATTATATACAGTAGATATAGATGTGCATTGAAAAATATATAGCTAAATATGTAGATAATTTAGATAAATATTTAGATATATACATATAGATATAGACATAAAAATATATATAGACATTTATTAACATAGATAGATGCATATAAATAGATATAGATAGGCAGACTATAAATCTAGACAGGTCCATAAAGATACAGACATATCATGTGTGAATATAAATTATTTACACATGTACATGCATACAGTATACGCGTATGCGTGTGCGTCTCTCTGTAACATTAAATCTAACTTACGCTTCCAGATAGCAACCTTTCTTCTCTTTTTGGCTTTACATTTACATTTACATAATAAAGATTCACCTTTAAAAGTCGTGGTCTTTTAAGTACATTGATTATAGGTCTGTACATTATACATTGAAACATCATTGTGTACGAGAGATTATTCATTTCTGTTATTTCCTTTCGCAGCAGTATTGTCTCCACGTGCTGAATATGTGATGCTGCTGCATAATAGATTACCGTTACACTGCACACACTCCTTACAGCTTATGCTTATAGTGTCGACATATACCTTGCCATGTTCGTCATGTTATCAGGTAAGTCATAGCATCTCACTGGCTGTTATATATTGGTAGAAATAACGGTTCTTAATTTTGGTGTAGGATTTCTATTGTGAATTTGTGTATTCTTAACTGATGGTCGTGTTTACACTGATCTGTTTTCGTAATTACTCTGATCTTTAAAAATAATGGTTTTACTGTATACTTATCATTATACTCACATGGCTTGATTGGCATCATAAGAAATCAGAAATGCTGTCTATAGTCGTGACCATGTGCGTTGCATCGGTCGTACACTCACCTGCAGGAGTTTCCACACGACTTCGTACTTGTGCAAAGAATTAAGTCCGGCAAGGTCGAATTTGGTGTCAAAGGTGATGAGGGGCGAGAACTTGAGTTTCTTCATCTCCTCCATGAAAGTGTAATCTGCATCCACTGTTAGACTGTACTTCGTCGCTCCTCCTGCTTCTCCCTCATCCCATGATCCTTGTATGGTATTGGAAGTGAGAGCTGTATCTTCATTCCACTTGTATGACAAGGGGTTCACTTCGTAACTTGGCTTGTATTTTCGTCTGCCTCTCTTACCGCTGTGACACTTCCTCGAATATTGCGTTTGCTTGCCTTTGAGGAGTCTCTGTCGACAGTCGCGGTGCTTCTGAACGGAGCATCGGTACGAGTGCTTGCCGCGGCGCCCCTTGGCTTCATCGACGAGGCAATGGGTCTGCGAAGCCGTCAGTAGGTCAATCAGGTCGTCGAAGGCATTAACTTCCGGTGACACTTTGATGTTCTTCTGGGGTCTGGAGGATGACACTGGGTTTACTTCTCTCAAGGGAGGGAATCCCTGGCTAACCGATGACGATGCCGCGAACTCGTTTTTTCGTGAACTACCCGCACTCGGAACTTCAGTGCTGCCCAGGACGTCATAGTAACTCACGCGAGGCGAATAGTCTACGAACTCACTGTTAAAATCGCTGTCATTTTGAGAAACCGCTTCCGGACCGACAGTTCCCCCGGCACCGAAATTTCTCGGCCCGACTTCCCCTTCGAGTGTTCGGGTCCTGGCTTCCTGCTCGACAGATTTCAGGACCCGACGTCGGTTTCGGTTGCCACGGGGGAGGATGTCCAGGGGCAGCTTCGCGTCGAGTGTGTACTGGACCTCCAACACCATCACGAGGGCCAAGAGGATGAGGTATACGAGGATGAGGTGTGAGGACGAGAGAACTGAACACTGGCTCATGGTGAGGGGATGGCCTGGCTGGTGCTCGGGCTGGGGCTGCGGGCGGACTGCGGCCTGGAATGGAGAGGAGGCGGTGGCGTAACACGATATATATTTGGTGTGTGTGTGCTTTCGTGGGCGATGACAGGAGTAAATTAATCGATTACCATTACAGAATAAATAATCATGATTACAGTCATGATTACATGGCTATTTATGGATCATAATGAGTATGTTTACATTTTTACGCGTGCAAAATATCTTAGCAATAAGAAGTAGAGAGAATTTCACAGTACATATTTATATGCAAATATAATGTTCATGAAAATGACCTGTATTATGAATATCATAAAATTGTTTGTGTTGATCAGATTACATACTATTTACTAAATAGTTGGTATACTGTTCCATTTCATTGAAATTCAGGCACAATGTATGGTAACTAATACAAAATTTAAAAATGAAACAAAATGGGAGGATATTCTATAACCACTTCATTATTATTTCTTCAAGTCATCAACTTTAATGAAAGCAAAATTTCGAAGTTTATAACCCAGTAAAACCAATTTCGAATTTTTCACCAATACGCATGGCACGATGTATATTTGTGCTTGAACAGCTCACAAATACTGGTATGCCTAGGGGATGGGTGGACGAGTTGTTACCATGTTCTGAACTGCGGGTTTTTCTGTGGGACTTGAGCAAATTAGTCGTTGGGTCGCTTGGCAGAAGCGATCATAATATTGCATTTTTCTCTCTCCCTTGCTAAGCTTATGCATGCATTCTCTCTCTCTCTCTCTCTCTCTCTCTCTCTCTCTCTCTCTCTCTCTCTCTCTCTCTCTCTCTCTCTCTCTCTCTCTCTCACACACACCACACACACACACACACACACACACGCACACGCACGCACACGAACGCACACCACACCACACCACACACACACACACACACACACACACACACACACACACACACACACACACACACACACACACACACACACGCACGCACGCACGCACGCGCACACGCACATGCACACGTACATACATACATAACGTAAAAGCTTTTGCCTCCATTGGCAATACTCTCCTGGTCTCTACGAAATTATGATAAAATATATGTAGTTCACTGTAGTAACACGTAGTATATTTTTAATGAATGGGTTTAAATTGCCAGTTAATGAGAAAAGAAGCATTAAAAAGATATTATTTTGAGGTAAATACATCCAACTCTTTACCATTCCTTTGATTTGTTACCAGGGTAAGCAGTGTAAACTACTCCATGATATTCCAACGGGCAGTAATTTTGCGCATAATCGAAATTAAGATAGAAAAGAGAGCCACTCAAGACGGGAGACCGAATGAGAGAAGGTGGAGGAAGGGAAGGGCGAAGGGGAGAGGGAAGAGAGGACGGGAATGATATATAGCGATAATTTATATAAAAAAAAAATGGCAAATACGCTTAAAGAATGCAGTTTGTTCATCAAACATGCATATTCTTGCTAGGTTTGATGAATAGAAACTTAATAGGCAATATTGTGTTCCCGCACATTTTTTTTATTTATTTGTTATATTCTAGTTTGATTTATTATAGTCCAGCAAATTTATCGTGAGTTTAGAGCTCAATGAGAGAAAGAAATGCAACGAAAGTAGTTAAGAGACCTTGAACAGAATGATCGAAGTGGAATCCAAGAGGAAAAGGGTTTGGGTGTTAGAACACTCAGGGAGTTCTCAGCACTTTGACCAAAAAACAGGACGTGTGTGAGTATACTTTTCCTCTTCTCCCGTCGAGCGCGAGTTGAATGGACATCAAGACACCCACCCAACCACACACACACACACATACACACACGCACACACGCGCGCGCGCGCACACACACACGCGCGCGCGCACACACAGACACACGCGCGCGCACACACATGCACACGCACACGCGCGCGCACACACGCACACGTACACACGCGCACACTCACGCACTCGCACAAACACACGCCCACGCGCGCGCGCACACACACACACACACACACACACACACACACACACACACACACACACACACACACACACACACACACACACACACATATAACACACATATACATACATATACACATACATACAAAGAGAGGAGAAAGAAAGAAAAAATTCCGATATATCCTGGGGCTAATTTGCTCGTATCCCCCAGATCCTAAAAAAAAAAAAAAAAACGGTCCGAAAACAAGGTAACAGCTCGTCCGGTCTTCCTTCAAGAGCATAATGTATGGATGCATGTTCCAAATCTGAATGTATAATTATGTACCAATGCATACACATGCAGCTGTGTATGTGTAAGTACATGTACAGATGTGTATACATGTGTGCTGTACAAATATATATATATATATATATATATATAATATATATATTATATATTGCAAATTAGTCTTATAAAAGAAAAATCTAATTTGGTCTGTGTGTGAAAAGACTGACATTGACAAATTTACACCCGGAAGACGGGAAAATCTCAATATCTCGAAAAATTGTCCTTTTGAGCTTTTCTGATATATATCATTAGTATATTCGAAAAAACATATCTCCATCTTGATAACATGAGAAATTAATGCGCATGACGGCA